TAGAGAAAGCTCTTGAAGCCTTTCCCTGCTCGGATGCAGAGGAAGCAATGAGCCTCCTTCTAGTGAGTAATTCCTCCTCGCTTCCTGCCCGTCTGCGTACACAGGAGCTTAAAAATCACAGGAAAGGGGCTACCAAAGCACGGGCCAACAAACAAAAGCAACAAGAAGTAGCTGCTGTTCCACAGCACCCCAAAGGGCAGAGAAAGCTGCCCCTGCTCAATGCAAGGTCTTATGAAGATGAGCAAGACCACGCGAAGTCAGCAGCTACAGCAGAGCCAGGAAACAAACACTAGAACCACACCACAGCCCAAGAAGCAGAACAGAAAGTCTAGGGACAGGCAGGAGCACGGTCACCCACCCAGCACAACCTTCCCAGCCCCCTGCTCACAGAGCTTCAGCCTAAATTATTTTTAAGCAGCCACGGGTTCCTCTCCCCATTCCTGAGTGAGGGTTGCAGACCCAATCCCAGGTGAATCACTAGAAATGAGACCGAAACCTCTGACCCTTATAAAGACTCTGCTGTCTGAGCACGTCTGCTGCAGAACATGTGGATGCTTGGGTGGGTTCTGAACACTTCCAGCACTTCTGAATTTCACTGAATTTTAGAGTTGGAAGGGACCATAGACATCATCTAGTCCAACTCCCCTGCTGAAGCAGGATTGCCCAGAGCTTGTCAGAGCATGTTACTCAGGAGCATCCAGGCGGGTCTTGAAGGTCTCCAGAGAAGGGGCCTCCACCCCCTCCCTGGGCAGCCTGTTCCAGGGCTCTGCCACCCTCACTGGGAAGAAGTTTCTCCTCACATTTGAGTGGAACCTCTTCTGTTCCAACTTGTGCCTGTTGCCCCTCGTCCTCTCACTGGGAACCACTGCAAAGAGTCTGGCTCCCTCCTCCTTCAACCCTCCCTTGAGATACTTGTCAGCATTGATAAGGTCTCCCCTCAGCCTTCTCTTTTCCAGACTACAGAGTCCCAGCTCTCTCAGTCTCTCCTCATAAGGGAGATGCTCCAATCCTTGGATCATCTTTGTTGCCCTTTGCTGGACTCTTTCTGAACGTTCTCATCTCGGCTCAGTGTCACCCACTACCCCAGTTTTACAGATTTTGCTGAAAACTTGGTACAATTCTCTGGATAACATTTCTGCACAGTCCAGGTGACATCAACTTTCTTGCTACAAAGAGCTTTGACGTTCCTGCGTGTTCCAGTAACTCACCAGTGCAAGCGAAGAGCGTGGAGGAAGGCGGAGAGCCCCTCCATCACCAGCAGGATGGCCACCGTCAGGGTGGCGAACGCAGCGAAGATGAAGAAGAGGCCAAAGCCTCCGCCCAGACTCCTCACGCTGAGGCCGATGTGGATGACCATGGTCCACAGCACCTCCGAGAGCTCTGCCAGGAGAAGGGAGAAGATGGCTCGTGTCAGGGCAACCAGTAAGAACGAAGGCTTGTTCCAGTTACTTACAAAGCACAGACCAAGTCAAGCCAACCCCCACTGCAACCAGAGGGACAACACCTTGTACAGGCAGTTTTTCAGGACATCATCCTGAAGAGATGGTGATTATGGGTTATTATGCCCCTGTACTCAGCACACCTCGAGTATTGTGTCCAGTTTTGGGCACCTCAATCCAGAGGTGCTGGAGCGAGTGCAGAGGAGGGCAACGAAACTAGTAAAGGGCCTGGAACACAAATCGTATGAGGAGCGGCTGCAGGAGCTGGGGCTGTTTAGTGGGAGGAAGAGGAGGCTGAGGGGAGACCTCATCACTCTCTACAACTACGTGAAAGGACACTGTAGAGAGGTTGGTGCTGGTCTCTTCTCACAGGTAATTAGTGACAGAACGAGAGGGAATGGCTTCAAGCTCCAACAGGGGAGGTTTAGATTGAACATTAGGAAAGAATTTTTCACCAAAAGAGTGGTCAGGCATTGGAACAGGCTGCCCAGGGAGGGGGTGGAGTCACCATCTCTGGATGTGTTTAAGGGATGTTTAGATGCAGTGCTAAGGAACATGGTGCAGGGGAGGACTTTGTAGAGTAGGGGAGATGGTTGGACTCGATGATCCCAAGGGTCTCTTCCAACCTCAATGATTCTATGATCCCAACACCATGCCATGGAGGTGTGGTGCCTCACCCAGCAGCTCTTTGCTTTACGCAGAGCTTTCAGCTCCATCCCCACCTCTAGACCCAGAGAGTTTTTAGAGAGCACTAGTGCAGATGCTGGTGTTTGGCCCCCAATTAGTGCCAGAGATTGTGGACACAGCTCTGCCTAGAGGAGACCCAGACCCAGACCCAGCTCCCTGAGGAGGACTCACGTGCGTGGGCCAGGCTGAGCGCCCAGAGGCGCAGGTAGGAAGCGGTGTTGGAGATGCAGCCCAGGCAGTACTCGATGGTGTGGATGGCCTGGTACACCACCGCGTCCCCGAAGTCGAACTGCGTGGAGAAGACAGGCGGTGAAGAGCCCAGGCAGCAGCAGGAGCTGGGGAGAACCAGCCACTACCTGCTGCTATCACCCAGGTCATGGTTTGGAGTTAGACACTGATACTGCCTTCTCCTGGCTTAGCCTGACAGTTTTACCAATGAGAAATTCATTCTCTTGTCTTGCTAGGTTTTGTAGAACCAAAGTTCACTGCTGCGTCTCGAGTATTATTGTTTCCAAACAATTGTTTCCAAGTAAGATTATTTCAAATTCAGCCATGGGCTTTGCCAGGAAAAGGCTGTTCAGCAACAAGATGATATTATTATGAATTCACTGGTAAATTGTATGTACCGCTAGGGAAAAGGAGACAGCACTTTAAGTCGATGCTGTGTGTGTGCCTCTGCTACAGGAACAACAAGAGCGTTTTGCAAGATATGAACTCGCCCTTCTTGACAGCAAAATCAATAAATAAAAATGCACAAAGCAGTCTTGAAAAAGTCCCATCTGTGCACCACTCCCTGGCAAAGTCTCTATGTCTTGGCAATTTTCTGAAATAATAAGAGAAGCACTTATAAGGAAGTCTGCCATGTAGGACAGTCTCTTATTTTGCAGCTTGGGAAAGCATTCCCTACGTCTTGGATTCAATCCATGCTTAAGAAACTGCTCATATTTAAGTTAAGTGAACATGATGTTTTAAATACATCAAGTGACTAATGCTCTAAGCACGCACAGAAAGCTATTTATATTCGTATTTCTCCCCTAGTATATCCAGGGCAAAAAGTATTTCAAACAATTAAGTTAAAATAGCTGTCAAAAGCCTAACTTTTTCTCCACAGAGTGTGACCTGCAAAGTTCTTTAACAAACCTTGCCCCGGTGACAGCACCAGCTCCCAGCACAGCAGTGTGTAGTGAATGGAATGCAGTAAATATCCCAACAACAACGATTTACAGCCCTGTGCAACTTCTGGAGAGAGCTGCTGCTGTGCCAGGGAGGGGGACAGTCAGCAGGATGGCTCTGCAGTGTTTGTAGTTTTAGACATTTTCGACAGGTTCGGTGATAAATAGAATTATCAGGTGCAGCAGGTGCTGCTTCTGCATCCCCTCAGTTCCAGAGAGATCTCCAGAGAAAGGAGCTCTGAGCAAAAGCTGTCAGCACCACTCACAGCAGCACCACTGCTGGGAGGCTGCTCTTGTTTCATGGCATTTGTATTTTTTGTAATGAAATTGGTAACCTTACAATCAATCCTGCCTGAGTGTTCCCAAAAACTCACTTCTTTAATGCTCATACCTGTTACAGGTCTCTACGAATGAGCGGTTTCTCAGAACAGAGCATCTCTTTTACAGGTAGATACTGATGAATTGAACTGTATGAAACTGGTTTTGCTGTATTTCCTGCCTGGCAACAACCAGTATCATCCTTGAAATGGCAGATAGTTCGGGAAAAAATCTCTTTAAGCAGTTTGCTGCAGTGCAGAATTACCAAAGACACAACATAAGGCAAACGAGACTTCTTCAGAAGTGTAAAACCGGGAGCCTGAAAAGTTTTTGCTTTAACAGCTTCCCTGTAAATCAAGACAGATCTGCAGACAAGACAAACAAGCTCTGTAGATGAAGTAATTAAAAGTCTGCTAATGGGCATGTATGTATGGTGAATTAGAAATGGCCTGTAACGTGTAAATAGCTGGATTTTTGAGAAAACAAGATGTGGTGACATGTTTAATTCACACCCATGGGGAATGGCCCAGGTAGAGGTGAACGCGAAGCTGCCGTAGTCTTACCACCTCGTCCTCTGCAGGCTTGGAAACATAAGTTTACATTTAGTGCAGTGTCTCAATCACAATATTAATCACGAACACAATTAACTCCCTCCTACACACGGCACAGCAAAGCAGTGACACGGCACAGGCACTACCGAGGCGAGATGGGGCTGCGGGATCGTTCAGAGGCACCAGAAAACTCCCAAACTACAATAAAATCGACTCCTCTTTCTTCTCAACCAGAGGTGGCTCAAAGCAATTAATATTACCCCCGGGTCAAAATGAATATATCAGCAAGATTTCGCTGCTGCAGAAAGTACAGCCCTTGGATTTTGGAGAGAGGGAGTGCTTTTCTCACCGGAGCAGGCGGCAGCACGGATGCGCCGCAGCCAGAGCAGAAGCTGCACGTGCTGCCCCAAAAGGTGCCAGCTCCTCATGATGGGGACAGAGCCACGTCTCCCTTTATATACAAATCACACTGCTTTTTCTGGAGTCCTGGAAATGACCAGGAGATAGTCTGGTCTCCACTTGACTGAAAACAGTCGCTCTGTAGTTTTAGGCAGCGTGGAAGTCAAGTAAATACAAGGCAGAAGCCACCGCGTTTCTGCGGCCGAGCGCAGCCCCCCCCGGGGAGGCCGGGTGGGCTCTTACCTCCTCCCCCTCCTCGGAATGGGTGGACAACTGGTCGTGCTGAATGATCTCCGCGTCCTCCTCCGTCGGGCCATTGCCCACCCGGATCCCACCGAAGTTGTGGGTTCCCTAACGCACGCAGAGAAAGAAAGAGCAAAGTGGTGTTTGGGTTTTACCGCACGAGCGTGTGGTTTTTTTGTTGTTTTTTTGGGTTTTTTTTTTTTCACGACTCCACGTGCAGCAGCAGCTCACGGAAGAGAATAAAATATTAAGTATTAAGGCCCAGGTTAAGCCAGGTGTACAACTCTATTTCCCCCGCGTGGATGGGAAAGATGCTGATTCCTGCTCGGGCTGGGGAAAAAAAAAGTCTGTCTGAATGAATAATCGGTAAATTTCTACAAAGTAACTGCCCCCCCCCCAAGTAAAACAAAAGGCACATCCCTCCAGAGGATGTTTGCTGGCACCCACGTGCAAACAAAGAGCAAGGTTTTGCCCGGCGGGTGCTGGACAGGCACAAACACCAGCGCTGGGCAAATGAGACCAGTCACACAGTGGCCACGCCGGGCAGAAGGGGCTGACACAGACACACACACACACACACACTGGCCCCGCAGCAGCGCCTACGGACACAGAGGGAAACCAGACCTTCCCTTACTTGGAAATTCCACGTTACGCAAACAGCCCCTTTTATAGGCACTGTGTGACCCTCAGCCCTAACTCCATCGTGCTCCGAACAGAACAGAACCATCTCGGCTGAAACTCTGCCAGAGCTGTAGGTTCCTCCTGTTCAACAACTGCAGCCACCGCAGGGAAATGCTGGATTTTGGGCTGGATTCCTCCCCGTGCTGCCCTGGCAGCAAGCAGGGATGCAGAGCCCTGCGGGTCCTCTCCCTGCCCCTTGCAGAGCCTTCACACATCATCAGCGCACACCGGAGAGCGAAGGTGTGACCTGCACATCCCCACCTCTGCAGCTCAACTGTGGCATCTCTGTCCCCCATCCAGGTCTCCAAGGACAGAAAATGATCCTAGAGATTATAAACAGAGACCCATGGGCCTGACCCAGCTGCAGAGGTGAGCTGGAACACGCTCACACTGACCGCTCGATGCTCTTTGAACCCATTTGCTCTTAGGAACCCGCTTTTAATTTAGGCTCAACTATAGATTTGCCCAAAATGCCAGATGTGATTTAAAGATTTTGTCAGGCTTTTAAAAAAAACCAACACACTATGTAGACATTTATGCTCTGAAAATAGAAATAAAGAGAAAAAAAATAATATAAGACAGTGCTTTTGTTAGGATTTTCAGCATCTTTGGGACAACACAAGCCACTAGTGACCAGTACCAGCTCTATCTGTGCATTCCCAGCCTGGGTGAATTCACACTTGTGCAGCTTTTCCCTCACACCCGACTTGTACCTGTTCTCTGTAAACTGTCAACTGTCCAACCTAAACACAGCTCCCAAAGCCCCAACCGTTTACTTTACACTTCTCACACAAAGCCCTTCCCTCACAGCTTCTTGTTCCGAGATGCACTTCAAGCGCCGGATGGATTAAGCACAAAAGGTCCGTTTTCATTTCTGACATTTCTGTGGGGCTACTTCAAATGTCACAACACAAACCCTGGCCCAAAGTGCCTCTTCGTGTCACCGTGGGCGAGATTCACGCTTCAGCACAACTGAACCCAAGTGAAGGGAGCAGGTTTGGGAGCTGCTGCAATCATCCAAGGGCTGGCTGTGGGTTTAGACCCAAATCAGGAGAAACAGCTGCTACTGAGAGGCTTCTTTGTGCACAACCCTTTTATAACAGCTTCAAGTCAAAGTGTCTACAAGGGCACAGGTTGTCAAAACCCCAGCAGTTACTGATAGGAAGTCCTCGGGAGGCCATCACATCAACGTGGTGTTTGGGAACACACAATGCAAACAGAAATGCTCGGCTGGGAAGAACCCTGAGCTCTCTGACACAGATAAGCAAAAAAAAAGGAAAAAAGGGGAACTTAACCTGGGGGCTGTGGCAGCCAGGCCCTGCCGTGCCGCTCTGCAGGCTGTGATCTCAGCAGCACTCTGCGCACACCCAACTATTATCCTTCAGCCTGGTACTTCTTCCAGAATGTATCACTTTTTGCTGAACTTTGCTCTTTCCAAGAGAAAGCGTTTGGTTTTTTTTTTTTTTCACCCTAAAGGTGCAGTTGCCATTCCCTTATGAAATGCAGATACATTCCGTGCTCTCTGGAGAATTAAGACAGAAAGCCAACTCCCATCTTTCAGTCCATCAGGTGATTTTTAAATGCACTCACTGTTGCAGCCGTTGCTGCCTCTACTGCCTGCTGGGTCGGGCCTGGGCTGACCTGGGCCTCCGCGGGCTGCCCTTCCTGATAGCGGATGGAAGAAGAGAAAGGGATGAGGAAGAAAACAAGAAGAGAGAGGGAGACGAATGGAGGGGACATGGGAGGATGAAAGATGGTCAGAGAAGGGAGAGGGAGTGTCTTTAACTGAACTGAGCTTTGACTCGCTTCACATCCTACCAGCTGGCTGCCATACATGCAGGGAGAATTTTTGAGTCTCCTCAGTGCACGTGGTGCCAGGTTCCTGCATTTCACATGCAGATACTTTACAGCTGGAAACCTACAGAGCACCCCAGAGGACAACCTCACACATAACGACTGCTAAGTCTTTTTTTTTTTTATTTTTTCCCTTAGTTATTTTTTTTTTTTTACCATCCAAACTGCTTTAGCAAAGGCAGCTGATGAGTCTGCCAGCCAATTAAGCTGCCATCTCTGCTTTTACATCGTCAAGCCCAGCGAAGGCACAGAAGTGCATCCAGCAACCAGCACCACAGATGCTCCTAAACCACCGGACAGAGCCCAGGCCAGATACATCACTTTTATCATTACCAACAGAAAGGGTTTTTACAGGCAGGTTTGCTGCTGGATCCAGCTCTGAGAAGCAGGCGACACTCTCTCCAGTAAAACCCAACTGCCTTGATGCCCCAGAATATAAAAAACAACGTTTTACAGGTCACAGTGCAGTGTGAACCCATGTATCTGAGATAAGACGGAGAACGCAGCTGTGCAACCACGATTAGTTTTCATATGGAAAATATAGGAGTTAGTCACCCACCAAGTGCTTTCTCCATAAATACTGACGTCGAAGGACCAGGGGTTTGGCCACCAGCATCCAGGGCACACACAGTAACGCCACCACCACGAGGAAACACTGGAGTCCCTTCTGCAAGAGAAACAACTCTCAGATGATGTAGTGACGGCCCACGCTCAAGCACACACCCACCCCCCAGCAGGAGTATGAGGTGACACCAAACGACTGGATTCCTGGAGCATGTGGACACCTCCCTCTCCTTCTCTCCCAGGAACAGCAAAATGTGCTGTCCCTAACACCCTCACACCACACAGCGCCTGGTACTGGGTTAGATCAAGGAGAAATCCTACAGATTCTGCAGGAAATGAGAATTTGGCAGGTGTCTGCCAGTGCTGGGAGGAAACGGTGTCAGTGTCTCAGCCACACTTAAAGGCACTGCGTTGTGGACATGGGACAATATTCCCAATTGTTGCCCACAGTTAATCTGGATCTGAAGCAACAGTTGATCTGTGTTCAGACTGATAGAAATTCCTGGTGCAGGGATTATTCCTTCCTTCTTCAACATCACAGAGTGTGATCCTGTGGAAATGACGCCACATTTCCTCTATCACACAGAAAAAGTGTTTCACGCTTGATTTCACAACTACTGTGAGGTCAGTGAGAGACACTAATATCACAAAGCACCCCTGATGTTACTCTAGCAAGAGCACGCACCTGCCCTTTATAAAGCATCTTATTACTGGGATCACCATAGGAGAAGAGAAACATGTTGATAAAGTGTATTAAGAGGCTCGGTGCATCCTTCGAGGTGTGAGCATCGTAAGCCGTCCATTTGTAGAAAATGAGAATAACAAGGTACCCAAAGAGTGAAGACATGAAAATCATTTCTGGAATAAATCCAAGGTATATGTTCAGTGGCTTCTTAAAATAGCTACAGAGGGGAAAAAAAAAAAGAGAGATTAATGTTATATTTGGTTGGCAATAGACATGTGTAGGGCAAAAGCTTTTAAGGTGAACTTTTAAGTGAAGCTTTTAAGTGAAAAACTTCTTTAGAACAAAACTGTGGGGGCTCAGCATTTTGGCAATGGCTGGGGCTTACACACAGAGCTCCTGGCCATGGCTCATTCCACACGGGCAGGACAAGCCCACCCAGCCACCAGTGGGGTAAAGTCTGATGGGCTTCTGCCTCGAACCCACACACGCGTGACACACAAAGACACTTCCCCCCACCACGAGAAACAACAGAGCAAAGCACTTACATGTGGTTGAGAAGACTCAATGTGACACCAAAGAGCATGTGGATAATGCCAAGAATCACCGACATTTTCATCTTGAAGGAATTGAGGAAGGCCAGCTTGTTGCTGGCAATGTTCCAAATCTGTGAAAAACACCAGCGAGTCAGCAAACCCCGAGCCAAGGACAAACAGAGGAGGATGAAAACGTTCACTTGAAGCTAAACAGCATTAACCATCCAGGAAGCACAAGGCTGTAAGAGCAGGGTTTTTAAAAGACGTGTTTGTCACACGGATATCTTTTGGGGAAATGAGCAGACAACCTCTTCTGCCAGGAACACTCTCTTACAGCAACTGATCCCACCTTCACAGCAGGAATCAAACTTTCCCTGTTTTTATGGTAGGCAAAAGCTGCAGGCAAAAGGGGGCTGGATCCTTGACAGGCAAAAAAATATGATTATCCATTTAAATGAACACATAGTTCTGATTTGCAATAGGAAATAAGGTAAAGTTATTGTTCCCAACATCGGTTAAGAGTTGGTTAAGAATGGCTGGGCTGTAAAATCTCTCACAGAGAACTGGAGAGGCATTTTTTTTTTGCTGAGCCAGAGGTTGCTCTTACCGGGTCGATGCCAAAGGGGTAGGGCCCACCAAACACCCCGGGAATAGCAGGGTTCAGCTGGAGCAGGGGCGTAGTCTCAAGCAAAGCATCTCTGTTCAGGTACAAGGAGATGACACAGACATTAACACAAGCAACGCTGCCCTCCTTCTGTAAACACTAACAGCATTCTGTCCTTGTGAGAGCCAGGAATATCTCAAATTGAGATAACTAAGGTTCCTGCGTGGTCCTAAAGACTTTTCTGAATGAATAATAAACCAATTTCTTGACCCATTACTCAGTGTCACAAGGAAGAAAGACACAGGGGAAGGGAATATCACAGTGTCTATGAGGAGAAAGGGGCTAAGCTGCATCTTTACAACTCTTCTGGGTTGTAAAGAAAAAACTGGTTTCAAACTTGATAGATATCACTTTTACACCCCTCTTCCAATTCTTCTTGGGACTGAGTTCAGAAGTTCTTGTTTTCCTGAACTGGGAGGACAATGGGGAAAGGGAAGTCACCTGCTTGTCACTGTCACTCTCTACTGAGTCACCAAGTGTTTACTCACGACCAATTGCCTTTTGTGAACATCGGCCGCACGCTCCAGGAGGAACCGAACAAATTCAGGGACTTGGAGAAACAGTCGTTGTAGATGAGGCCCGTGTAAGTGGAGAACAGTCCCATCAGCAGGATGATGTATCGACCGCTGAAAACCATGTTGAACATCTAGCAGGAAACAAAAGAAAGAGGAACAAAAAGTCCATGAGAATAAAGAAGGTCACAGAACAACAAAAGCAGTTGTAGACAAACAGTAACGGGCCACATGGACTAAAAGCCCCAAGTCTCTGCTTCCCCACAGCAGGGATTACAGGTGCCAGAGGCAGCACAGAACGAGAACACAGAGGATAAAGAGGCAGCACGACTGTCCACAGGGAATCTGGGATTAGCCAGAGAGGATAAACAGCATCTATGCTGATGCTAGCCCCAGCTGGTAGCACTGGTCTGGCACTGGGAAGCACTGGCCCTGTTCAGCTCCCTCCACACTCTGCCCGTGTGTCTGGGCACCCCCTGCCAGCCCCAGCCCTGAGCAAAGCCCACGGGATCAGCAAACAGGAGGAATCTTGGAGACACAACACCCAGAGACAGAAATCAGGAGGTTTACAGCGACTGAACCCTGTGATGATCCAATCAAGTTCTGGGTGATTTGTTTACAACCACTCATAGAATCATAGAATTGTCTAGGTTGGAAGGGACCTTTAAGATCATCTAGTCCAACCATTAACCTAACCCTGATAAAAAAACATCACTAAACCATGTCACTTAAGTACTATGTCAGCCCGTCTTTTAAATACCTCCAGGGATGGTGCCCCAACCACATCCCTGGGCAGCCCATTCCAATACTACACCTGACAAACACCCTCCTTTGAACACCCAAAAGGAGTAATCTCATCCAAATATCCGAAAGAAAAACCAAAGGAACTCATTACTATTATGAAATTACGCTACTCAGTGTGTGCTCTGCAGGCTTTCCAGCCTGGCTGCGGGCTCCACATGTTTCAGATGTGGGGAGCAATGTCACTGCCAGCTCAAAGTAGGAAGGATGGGAGGAAACCCCCCTGCAAATCTCTTTTAAACCAACACCCAGAATGACCCCCCCACTTCACCTCATTGTCACTCTTCTGTGAGAGAATGCGACTCTCCCTTATCACCATCCAGACAGCAATCAGAGACATCAGGATGCCGTGGCCAAAGTCTCCAAACATCACAGCAAAGAGGAAGGGGAAGGTGATGATCGTGTACGGTGCTGCAAGAGAAGAGATGACATCCTGGTGCACTCTGTTTGAGTAACCCCACATTTACTACAGTACAGTTTACACAATTCAGCAATACAATTCCCAAGCTTCCCCTCTGCTTCTGAAAGGTGCAGAATACTGGAAATCTTCACAGAGGACAAACAATGCAGAGAAACACCATGACTAAACTGAGACAGATGTCTGGAGCTGCTCGAAGTGTGAGTTTACCTGGATTTATTTCCCGGTATGTCCCGATGCCATAAGCATCAACAATGTTTTGAAAGCCACAAGTAAACTTGTTAGTTTTGTTGTATGTCGGTGGGGTCTGGTTGGTTTGCATCCTGTTTAAAATAGACGGGACAGTGGATCCGCTGTGCTCCTGTTCACAAAAACAACAACAAAAAAGGAAGATCAGAACACCCATCCTCAGGGCTCTGGAGTAAAACATGACTTTCTTGTCAGCATTTGGAAAGGACAAGCTTGCAATTTCAGCGTGCTTGCACAATGAGGAGTCTCCTCGAGCAGCTGAAGAGGGGTGCCAAGTTTCCACTGCTCTGCTCTGTACAGCAGCAGGAGCAGCACATCCTCACAGCAAGGATGGACAGTGTGTGATTTGGGCAGATGAGAAAACTCATGCAAGGGGTTTGTTGGGTTTTTTTTAAAAAAAAAAAACACAAGTGAAAGGACTTCAAGACGCCCAACTCTGTTATCTGTCAGTCTGAGCAGAGGGGAAAGCTTGCTCATGCCCCAGAGAGCTCCTTTGCATATGTTCTGCTATACATCCAGAGGGACACCAGAGGATGGCCAGGCTCAGTGAAGGTGCCCAAGGACCCAAACACAGGAAGACGCGTTACCGTTGCAGCACTTCCCTGAACTTAAAGCTTTACATAATGTCACGTATCTGTTACATGTGTTATCTATAAGCCACGACTCCTGCACGTTAGATGAAGTGTCCTCTGGGAGGACTGATTCAAGCAGCCCAAAGGGATGGATTTCAGAGACTGGCAAACTGGACAAATCAACGAATCCCTGCGGTGGTTGCGGGCGGTGCTGTCTGCTTGTCCAGCTGGTACTCACCGTGCCTCTCCGCAGAGCAAACTGGATAGAATCCAGGTCAGCAACGGGACACCAGACTTCAGCAATCAAGCACTTCTGGGTCACGTCGATGTTGCACAGGTTGAGGGTATGGTAGATGGCCTTCATCTTGCGCACTTTGATGAACCAGACGCGGATGTTTTTGGCAGCCGCCTGCAGAACCCTCTGGCGATGGTCCTCCGTTTGGTTCAGCACCTTTCATGGAGAAGAGGGAGAAAGATGAAGAAAAACCACTGGCAAAAATCAGCAGCACAGAGAAGCACGCAGTGAAACCAGGCTGACCACCAAGAGAAGTGTCACCCAGCAGAGCACAGAGGCCTGAGCCCACTCCTCACCCCATGCACAGCCTGCCACAGGCCTCCAGTATGCACTTTCCATATTAAAACCTTTTAGCAAAACTAATTAAGGGACACTTTTTGACTACTTTCCTCCTCCAGCTCCAGGGTCAGTGGGCATTTCAAACAATAAACTGCCCAGAGATCACAGAGCACATTTTCTCCTCCACCCAGGTTAAAAGAGCAGAGTTCTACCAAGTGGGGTGTACAGTGCCTTAAGAAAACACACAAAGATTACAATGAAGGACTTTTTTACTGAAGGGAAAAGGAGAAAGTGTTTTCTACTGAGTGTGTTTTCCAACTGGAACAAATCTACCTCGTGCCAAGTCAAGATTTCCAGACTGGAAAGTCTTAGGCTCAAGTGAAGGCGAGGACAAAGGGCACACACAGCTTTGGATCCTACAAGTTGAATTGTTTCTGAGTTCTCATCTGCTTTAAAATTACTGAACAGCAGCACTACACAACTCCCAGCTCGGGACAGTTTCTCTGTCAAACAAGCAGTCCAAATTTAACCGTTTTCCTTTTAGTTTCTCAACCTTTTCCTATTTTTTTGTCTCAACTCCCTCATTTTTTTTCTGCATTATAACATATTGCCTTTCTTCCTTGAAGCAAGCATCAAATATCTCAGTGGGTCTGTGTGCTGATCACTCATTACCAACACTCAGGCTGCAGCACAAGAGATTAGTTGTAAAGCAGAAGCTCTTCAGGTCAGCACAATGTAAAAATACAAAGACAGGCAGAAAAAAGAAGAGCTAAATTAAAGTTAGCATTGTTATCTCAACTTGGAAATAAGTTTAAATGTTTTCAAAGCTCTTGCAGGTGAACCAGGCAATTACAAGCTTTCAGAGCTGGAAACACGCCATCTCCTCACACATGCACATTCCTGCCTGCTCCCCAGCAGGCAGCTCCCTGTCCATGCTGTACTTAATGTATAGGATTAACTGCTCAGCCCTTCAGAGAGACCAAACCACCCCAGCACCCTACACCCAACGGAGCTGACAGCCTCTAAACACCTTTCTTGCAGTGCTGAGCTGCTGGGCTCAAACTACCTGGAGCTGAAATGTCATCCAACAGGGTCAAAAATTCTCCTGTTTTAACAGGATCCAAGTAAGTTTTCCACGACATTATTAAAGAACAAAGAAAAAAATGGGCATTGACCCCAGTTATTTTACCATCTGAAGATCATCAATTCTGGTATTGACACCAGAAGCCATCTCCTTCCGCTCCTGTGGTGTTTCTGGGCAGGGGTAGAGGGAGGCACGGAATCTGGAAGACACGCAAGTGACATTAGTGACAGGGACAGAGAGAAGGTCAGTCAGTCAGGGGAACAGAGGGCTGAGCCTGAGCACAGACACAGAGCCAGAAGCACCTTTACAGAAGCCTCTGATCAGCAAAGACTGCCAAGCAGGGCTCCAGCCTCTAAATCAAGTGGGCAGAGCAGTTTGCTCCAGGCCAAACCAGAAGCCAAACACTTAAGAAATGGGAGTGGGAGGAAACCTCTGCTCCTGGCACCGACAGCGTCCCAGAGGCCCTGTCCCAGAGCTGATCAGCCATCCCTGCTCAGGGTGTCCCTATTGTGCCAGCACAGCTGCTGCTGGAACCCATCAATGTTGGTCCCTCCTGGGGGAATATTGCCCACTGACACCCCCCTAGCTCTGTCCAGGAGCTCCAAACTCCAACTCCCTTGTTTTCAGGTGTTCTCTACCAAAGCAGTCAGCTCCTCTGAGCAGTGGCCAGAGGAGACTCTGCTTTGGGCAGTGGCCACTTTGCCTGTCAAATACGTTTCAACTCCTTATGGTGCATTTTATTTGCTGTCAAAATCTGTACTCCTACAGTCATTGTGAAATATGGAGTTGTAAAATACCGACATTAAGCCATGGCAACATATTTCAAATACTTGAGCGAGCTGCCCAGCTGTGAGACTGCCATACCCTTCACATATCTTCTTGACCCTGTTCTTCAGCTGGTCGCCTTGGAAAAAGATGATAAACACAGACTTGTGCACATAATCCCCCTGGAAGAGAAGACAGGGCGCGCTGTAATAGCTCTGCTATTTTCAGAAATTAGCATTATAGCAAATTACAACAGAGTTCTACTTTTCCTTCCTCTGAATCCATGCACACAGAGCTTCTTTCTCTCAAGAATGTACCTTCACACCACTGGAATGGTCAGGAGGAAAGTGATTCTTAGCCTCAGCAGGGAATACCCCTACCGTACGTGTGTTTACTGAAGCAAAGTGTTCTGTGTTATCTGCTACCTATTCTCTGTAACACGATAAACAGGAAAACCTGGGAAGATCTCCAAAAGAACAGAGATGCAGTGAAATATTTATCAGCCTGCAGCCAGCTCACCTACAGAATCGAGCAGAAAGCTGGAGAGTGAATGAAAATAAGCTGAGGTGGAGATTAACAACTTTGATTCTCCAGGGAGGCCAAGGGCACATTCCTCATACAGCTGTGTTCATGCTGGGAGCCAGGTCCCCTTTCCTGCGTTTGTTGACAAGTTATTGTTCTACCTTACTTAGGAAATTTTAACGTAATGTTTCAAGAATCATTACATTAGGTGTAACCTCAATTTAAGGAAGTGTTGCACAATTGAACAAAGTCTCTCCTAGTAGACAGATAATCCAACAGGTCAACTACCAGCGGTCGGTGGGAGAGAGCAGCAGTCAGTCAGCTTTATGCAAGACATGAGGGGCAGCTACCGAGTTCAACTCTTCTGTCTTTGTCCCAGTACAACACACACACACAGAGACATGGCTTTTCTTTCTACTTGCCAAGAGCAAGAGTTCCCAAAGTTTAGGCACTGTCCCTTGATTTGACTCTGAATGTAAAAACAAGTCCAATCGCATTCACTATGTAATAAAACCAACACTTCTCTGGTGGGTGTTCAAATGACTGCTTAGCAAATTAGGAAAAATGATAGGTCCAAGTTCAATGTAACATCTGGAGCTCGTTCACTCTGCTGATGTCCAAAAGAGCCTCTGTCAAGGAGGATTCCTATTTCTCCAGAGCTGCACACAGGAGTTGTACTTCCAGTCTGTGCCAGAGAAGCAACTACACCCTGCTGCACTCCACATTTTGATTTGTTTTTCTCCTTTTCAACAGTATTCACCATCCATCTTGCTATTTTTAAGCATGAAAACATTTGTCACTAAAGCCTCAGAGGCTGCAAGCATGTACCGTGAAGGGACGCGCCACAAGGTCTCTCTGCGTGGAGCTCATGGAGGGATAAAGGCTTAGATCTATCAGAAAGTCCTTTTACACAGCTGAGAGTTTCGCTGCTGTAAACAATAGTTCTTTTTACCGTTACAGGATCCTCCAGGGGGTTCTCAATTTCCGCCTGACGCAGGAACACGTTCCCTCGGCACACCCGCCACAGCATGCGCTCGAACATGGGGATTCGCTCCCGGTTGATCACACCAGCCACAAACCTGCCAAGGGACAGCACAAATGTCTGTTCTGCACCTGGGGGAAGGCAGAGCCTGACACCCAAACCACCCACGGCCACTGGAGCTGCGCATCTGGTTGAAAACTACAAAAATCTTGTTTTTAAAATTAGTTCTTTGAGCAAAATGGAAGGTCCTCTAACCACATGGAGAGTGACCATCGGCGGTGTGTCAGGCACGGGAAGGCCTCACTGCTTCCAGCCCTACATCCAGAGAGAGAATTATCATAGAATTGCCCAGACCGGAAGGGACCTCCAAAGGCCATCTAGTCCCACCCCCCCGCAGTCAGCAGGGACACCCCCAACTAGACCAGGTTGCCCAGGGCCTCGTCGAGCCTCTCCTTGAATATCTCCAGGGAAGGGGCCTCAACCACCTCCCTGGGCAACCTGTTCCAGTGCTCCACCACCCTCACAGTGAAGAACCCTCTCCTCATCTCCAGTCTAAATCTGTTCCCCTCCAGCTTGAAGCCATTGCCCCTCGTCCTGTCACTGCAGGCCTTTCTAAACAGGCTCTCCCCAGCCTTCCTGTAGCCCCCTCAGGTACTGGAAGGCTGCTATTAGGTCTCCCCGGAGCCTCCTCTTCTCCAGGCTGAACAACCCCAGCTCCCTCAGCCTGTCCTCATAGCAGAGGTGCTCCAACCCCCTGATCATCCTCATGGCCCTCCTCTGGACGCACTCCACCAGGTCCATATCTTTCCTATACTGAGGGCTCCAGACCTGCACACAATAGGTCTCACCAGAGCAGAGTAAAGCGGAAGAACCACCTCTCTGGACCTCCTATTACAGACACACAGAGCCTGGAAGCAGCATATGAAGAGGGTACAGAACTATACAAACTTTTTGGAGTATTATGTGCCCAGAGCAGCTACTGGTTTCGAAGCTGTGAGAACTCAGAATGTCTGAAAGAGTCACCAGGACACATTTACAAGGAACAAACTAGCCAATTATTTTTTTTTGGTCCAATGGACGACAGCTAGTCCAAACCAGCCTTCATCACTTGACGTGCCCCTCTGTAAAGTTCTACCACTGTGCTCAAAAGGCCTGTGGGTGCCCCAGGGTGAACACGAGCCAACAACCCCAATGGGGGCAGGAGAAAGCCAACGGCCATTACCCGAGTCGTAGTGGGGCCCCTCTTCCCATCTCACTCGGCTCCAGCAGCGAAGACGATTCCTCCAACAGGTCTGGATCCGCCATCTGCTGATGATGCAATTCAGCCTGAATTCACAAATCAATTAATATCTAATGAAACTAGTTAGTGGCATGCAGGGAACGAGGAACCAGGAGGTAGCTTGGGGAGACAAAAAAAAAAAGAAAAAAGAAAAGAAAAAGAAAGAACGAACATGAGACAGCAAAAAGAAGAACCAGATGATAGAAAAGACAGAACCACACAAGGAAGGAGAAAAACAAGAGGAGAAGTGGAATGGCCCAGCAAAGCTTCCGTACAAGAAAGGTCTAAAGATTGCAGCAAGAGAACAAAGGGGCTGTGGGGTATATAAGTCTGAAGAAAGGCAGAATTCAAAAAAATTTATCAAGTTTTAAATACAAGTGATGTCCCCAAGAACCGTTTTTGAATGGCACACGAGAGCAGCACACCTTACTCTGCTCTTCCTTTAGATCTGAAATGGTGAAAAAGGTGAGGGTAGCTCTGACCCCCTCTTGCTCTACTTGTGCATCTTCTGTGTCTTAGAGATGCAAAAGGCTTTTTTCAGAGTGTTGCCTGGGAAATGGTACTTGGTGTGGAACAGCCCAGGGGGCTTGTTCTGTGCCATGAGGAGAGTGATGCCCAAATGAGTCTTCCACAGATGGTTCAATGACCTGAGGGCACCTTCACAGGGCTGTCCCCAGCAGCGGCCACACTAGACCCGCACACCCGCTCGGTTACCCTGCTCCAGGCAAAATAAGTAATTTCTCACTTATGTGACAATAGTTTGATTGATTCCAGGTTACTCGTCACATCGGCATAGGCACAGGGTCAGAATCAGTAACAAAACCTGGAAGTACTGGATGGTAATTTTCTTAATGGCTTTCCAAAGTTCTCCTCCAGGAAAAACACACAATACTTCCAGCCTAAAAACATGCTTCCTGATTAAATCTTTACATTCTCCAAGGTGTTTATCCTCACTCACTCCATGTGTTATTGCCAGACTCACAAGATGTGTTGCTTAGGGCAGTCCTGTGATGTTGCTCGTTTTTTGACCAGCCAGGCATCAGAAGAGGACACAGTTTTATACTGTCCTTCATGGCAACTGATCTGCAGGCTCAAATTCTTGGGAACATACCTTGCAAGTGCCAGAGTTCCAGCCAGGAAGGATGCTCAAGTCACATCTTCTCGTGCACCATCTCAATCAACCCCACATCACGGTCGTTTCTACCTCTGCAGCTTATATAGTGAAATGACAAAAACTACAGTTCCTCGGCACAAAGAAAGGGCCAAATTCTACCCTCTGTGGAAAACAGGGGGCTTCCCCCAGAGCTGTCAAGGGCTAAAACACACTGAAGGTAGAGTTTGACCCTGGACATGTAACACACATGCACATGTACAGCACAGCCTTGCAAAAGCACATAGCAACTGTAGTGACTCAGCCAGGGGATCTTCATTTGGGCAATTGCCGCATCCCAATTGAAGTGAAAAACTCCCCAATGTTTTACTTGCCTGCCAAATAAAAGCAGTTGCCACATACAAGAGGAGTTTTTGCAAGGCTGAGGTGAAGTGCAGCTCAGCTGCCTGTACACACACGCTCACAGATGCCACAAACCACAGGGAGCCCTTTATTGAGTTTGGGAAAACCAACACCAGGAACTGCCGACCCCTTCGGCTTAAAGGCAACTTGTTTCAACACCAAAAACAGAATGAAAATTGTGCTTCATACAGAACACAACCGAAATAAGAAGGTCTGGTACCACAAAGCAAAACATACAGCCCAAAGACACCAGTGATTACTCAATAACGAGGTTTCAGGATGTTAGAAAACAGTAAGTTACAATTTTAAGAGGCTTGTATTGTATTTATCACTGATCAAGGTGCTCTGTGATAACTGCTGGGAGGGGTGCCATGTTTTAGCACATGAAGCACAAAGAGAGGAGGACAGCACATAGAAAACTTTGGATCCACCTCACTCAAGAGAGTAATTCTTATAAATGTTTAATATCACCCCCAGCCCTTTTGGGCTGCGTGTCCTTGGCTCAGGACACTGCCTGAAACAGAGACAAGTCCTGCTCAGAGGGGCTGAAATTACAGAACAAAGCACCTTAGATTAAAGTTGGATTAGACCAGTTTTACCAAACAAGAACTTTCTTACACAAGGATTACTTGCATAACAAACCCCAACGTTCTTTGATTCATCTCTCAACTGCTCGGATTGATGATCACACCCTTTCCAGATAGGAAATGGCCCAGCAACATCAGCTCTGATTTGGGGGGAGAGATAACTAGATCAGTGTTGTAAGAGTGAATAATTGAGACACCTTGGAAATGAAAGCACTACCCAGCTACCCAGAGAAACCAGACTCTGCAAAATTTACTTTGCATAAGTTTTCACCAGCAGCAAGTGAAATGTCATTGTTATTGTGAAGTATTTTTTACTACACCAGGTCATTCAGGATTGGGAAAACCCAAGCATTTGCATGCCAGTAATTAGAATGCAGATCATTCATTCTCAAACATTTTTAAATTGCTTATTGTTCATCCAGATCAGCACTTTTTAAATCTCAGGGCCTGAAAGAGAAGTTCCTTTTCCCCACCCTTGATCCCAGCTCTGCCCCGTGATGGCTCATGATCACCCCACACAACTTCATACAATTCAAGCCCCTTCCAGTTCACCAACAGAACAAAAGCCCATTTTCACAAGAACTAAAAAAAAAAAGAGTCATTTCACCATCTAACTTATTAACCCAGAGCCCAGACAGGAATGAGAGGTGCAAAGCAAACAGAAAAAAGCAGATGGGGAGAGAGTCAGAGGAGAGAGGGGGGACTGCATGCCATTAACCATTACTTTTCCAGTCTTCTCTTACGCTCACACTCTAGGCAAAGCTTTCAGAGAAATCTCTCCAGCTCATACTGCTCTTCATAAGCAAAGACAAGAAGACTGAGAAAAGGAGCATAATCATCAACATGGTGTGTTGAAACAAGAAATGGCTCCTTCTACTAGAACCACCCTAACAAGAACAAATGAAACAATTTTGCCCTCTCCCCCCGCCGGTGCACAAACACCCCAGAGCAAACACCAAGAAAAGCACTTTGGATCGTCAGCCATTTCTTGTGCAACTTATTACTATGAATAACACAATTGTAATTACAAGTTATTGAAGTCTTTGAGTGCTGAAGGTACTGAGTGAATGGCAGCAGGAGACATGAAGCCCCAGCACGAGCCCGGGACTGGCCGGGGCTCACACAGATCTTGGCTCTTTACAGCCTGAGCAGAAACAGCTCCAACTTACACTTTACTGACCTCCACACACAAGCTGCTTTTAAATAGAGGGGTACATTTTACTTGTTGGATTTTGATTTATTATTAAAGAAACCAGTTATCAAACAGGAGCGGGAACATATCTAAATTCCTGTAGCCAGTCCATTTAAGGCTGACAGTGAGCTCCTTTTTGTGGTGACCTGATGCAGACAGTTTAGGAAATTGGGTTTGATCTTTAAATTTAGTCTGATCGTGCTGTAGTTGAAGGAAAGCAGTGGCCAGCTCTCACCAGGGAGGACAGTGATTAATAAAGAAGCTCATGTGGCTTTACCCAACACTGTTAGAAGAGGTGGCAGTGGCACCTCAGTGCTGCTGAGTAACAGACTGTCAGGTTAACACTGTGTGTCCAAGGAGACACATCTAAGTGGACATTCAACACTCAAAGACAAGGTTTTTTTGTACCGAAACCAACCCCGTGACCAATCAAGGTTTTTTTTTTTGTACTGAAACCAACCCCGTGACCAATCAACTGATGGCACAAGCAGCAGAGTCTCTGTCAGCAGTGCCCAAGACCCGTGCTGGCACAGGAACAACCTCAGCGCCTGAGTAGGCACCATCCTGTGCCAGAAAAACAAATCCCAACCCTCAGACAACAGCATGAAGGCTGCAGGAGCCCAGCTCTCCTTGATCACAGCCTTTGTGACGGCCAGAAGCCAGATCCATTGAGAACTCTTTGATCAAATCCTTGGATGAGAGGACACATGTGCAGCAAACCCATGTCCTCACCCTTCTAAAGCACACACAGGAGCTCTTGGAGAAAACTCCCCAGGCTCTGGGATACTCAAGCTTTAGAAGGGAGGATTATGCCTTCTCCCATGTGGGCTCTGTGTCAGCAGCACGACCCACAGCAGAGCAGCTCCTCTTGGGTACAGAAAGAGCCACCAGCTCCCTGCCAAGCTGGGTTTCACCAAGCGTTCAAGATTCTAAGTGGCAGCTTCGCTCCAGAACCCACCTCTGAAAACTTTAGGGTTTGATCAAAGGCTCAAATAAATAAATAAATACCCTATTGCTTCAGTGGACTCTGCGTTACAACCCTAAAGAGTAATCTCCGTGTAACATTTCAAAGGCTGAAGAGAAGTTGAGCTTGATTGTAGTATCTGTGTGCAGGAGGCAGGGCTGCTTATCTGCCCCCACCCACAGAGACTCCCTCCCACCCAGGAGAGTTTTGGTGCTGAAGTGCTTTGGGAATTACCAGCACCAGAATGATTTCACACAATTTTTAGACAAACCATCACTGACCCAAAACAAACCCAGCCCAACATCGTTAAGAGGTAAATCACAGGTAGCTATGTGCACTGCGTGAAAAATGGAAAAGAATTTGAGAAGCTTTCTTAAACAAAGCATAAAAATGACCCTGCCGTCCAAAAGAACAACTAAAAATATACTTGAGAATAAAAATGGTAATTTGTGGGGGAAGAACCAGCTGCCCAAGTGTTATCCCGCCCCCGGTATTCTGACCTCATCAAAAAATTGTTGAGTTTTACGCAGTATAAATTTTAATTCTGTCAGCTCCAAAAAGTTTCTCTTCAGAGCCTCCTGGTTTGTGTTGATTTCCTTAAGCTCGTTTTCAATTTTCTCAAAGTTTGCCTGCAAAATGGGGAAAGAAGACGACAGAAAAAGGACTTAAAGCAATTCCATAAATAAGTGCTGTTAAGTCTATTACAACAAGAAAGCAGACAAGCTGCTTTGCATTCCCATGTGATTTGCACACAATTACACCCAGTGCCTGTCTGCTGTGGCACAGGCACCCAGATTTGTGACATTCTCTTCAGGCAACGTGAAACTTTTCCCACTCAGCCAGTCTGTTAAAGGCTGGACTTATCCCGTGTTCTTTACATCACTAAAATCCCTTATAAACTTTATGACAGGTCCACCATGAACCACGGACTTTAACCCATTTAAATGGGTGAAATTTCTTTGAAGTACTTTCACTTCTGACAGTATTTGGACAAATGCACAAGCAAAACAAGACTCATGAATGCAGATGAGCCTGATGTGAGGGAGCAGAGCTCCTGTTGCAGGTGACACTTGAGGACTCTGGTTAGTGCACCTTTGCCAACAGATTCAACGGGTATCATCTACCAAACTAATGTCCCCTATTTGTCCATAATGTCTCCTATTTCCAGCTATAATGTCCCCTATTTCCAGCTATAGTCAGATACTGCTTGAGTTGTAACACACAATCATTACCTCCAAGTCAATCATGTCCCGTGGAAAAGGCACCTCCGGGTTTTCCCCAGTGTCCATGATTGGAATATTTGCCTTTTTAATCTCCTTCTCCACAAACCCTGGAGAGACAGCGTTGGCATTGTCAACCAAAAGGATACCTCAATGTCAAACTCCCCCTGTAACACCACCCAGCCCCACCGGCAGCTGTGGATTCTTTCACCTCCTATTCTAAGAGCCTCTGATCTGGCTGGGGCAGGGAGGGGACGGCTGACACAGCGGGGAAGGGCAGCCTTTGCTCCTCCTCAGCACCCTGCTCTCTACAGCTGCCATGCAGGTTTATCCTGCATTTGTTATTCTCCCTTTAAAAGCAGAGCCGGAGCCACAGCAACCCCAGAGAGAAACGTACGGAGCTTTCTGTCCATCTCTTCACACCTCCTGACTTCATTGACGAATTTACGCTGGAACACGTTCACGTCCGGGTTCAGCTGCAGAGAGAAAGATGGTTCCAGCCCGGCCCGGTGCCCCCCAACCCCCGGGGAGCCAGTGCAGGGGGTACAGGGCCTTGCTCCGCCGGGGTGGGCCGGTACCGGGGGGCCGGGGGTCACTCACGTCTCGGAACTGGACCTTCCCCAGCTCGCCCAGTTCGCTGACACAGCAATAAGCGGCCTCAGACTGGAGGAAGAGCTGGGCCAGGGTCATCTCCTCGCTGCGGAACAGCTCCCCCATGGCTCCGCCGGGCTCGCCGCGGCCTCTGAGGAAAAAAGGCCGTCAGGACCGGGGACGGGAGGTTGCGGGACCCAGTGGTCGCGGGACCAGGCCGCGGGCCCGGGTGGTCGCGGGACCAGGCCGCAGCAGGGGCCGGCCGGGGCCTCCCGGGCGCCGCGCCCCCACGGCCTCAGCCTCGGCCCCCGCTGACCGCTGTCACTGCCAGGCAGAGCGGCCCGGGAGGCCCCATCCCCGCCGCTCCCTCTTACCTGCCGCAGTCACCGCCGCCGCCCCGCGCCGTCCGCACCCGCCGCCAGCTGATCCGCTGCGGCTCCCGTCCCTGACGTCACCGCGCACAGGGGGGCGGGGTCACGCGGGCCGTCTCCTAGCGACACCGCGCCTCGAGCCGCACCGAGCCGCACCGGAAGTGACGGGCAGTGCCGGGCCGGTCACCGGGTTCCTAGGCCCACCGGTGCCGGTGGTGACGGCTGAGTGCCGCCACGCGCCCTCCCCTGATGCCGTTTGTGACGCCGTGACGCAGGCGGTGGCGTCACCGGCAGCGTGGCCGCGGCCGGGGGGG